TCTGAGCTGACACAATCAATCTTACACCAGATGAAATAACAGAGTGTAAGTTAATTGTTGGCACAAACAGGTTTTTATCATAAAGAACACTTCACTGATAATGTCTGTTAACATTTTAATTAGGCAGACTAATATCCAGTAACACTTTCTTTTCATATTCTTTCTCCCTCTACTACTCCATAAATTGTTTTTTCATTTGTTTACATCTTAGGTTAAATTATTTATGCTATTGTGTGTAAACTTCTGCTATATATTTGTAGATGCAGAAATGCTATGATAAGGAAAAGATCAGTAATTTCTACTCATAGTTACATAAGTGGAATACTTTCAACTAGTTTAGATCCAAAATGCGTGTTTGAGTAGAAAAGAGGGGGAAGTTTTTAAATATAATGAAAACATTTATTTACAATAGATTTACAAGCATTTATTCCTTTCTACTCATGTAGATTTTTTCAAAAAATTACTGTATGTATTCATCATTTTTATACTTTTTGTGTCATATACAGTGGTGTAGCACTGATATTTGAACAAGTCACATATAAATTCCCAAAGATAGATAAAATTGCTGGTTTCCTAAAACTGGAAGTTGAAATACACACAGACACTTCAAGACAAGTTTTGTGAGTGTGTAGTACCACAGCATCGTGCTAGTGCAGGAGAGCCCAAAGTGAAATAGTTTTTAAGTTTTAATGCCATTGCCAAGCAAAATGTTAAAAAGTGGTATACATATAAACAAGCATTAACTGTGAAAAGGAAATAAAATTTTGAAAAAAAATCCATTTTAATAGCCCAATGTTATTATCATAGTTAATTTAAAAAAAAATATGACCACCACACTGACAGTATCTCTATCCTACACGCATCTTTTGTTCTTATTCTTGATTGTTCATAACACAGAATACGTTTGTGGGAAATAGTCACCTTCATTTTTGAAGTGTTACATGAAGATTTATATCGTAGAACTTACCTCAAAATTAAGGTCTCGAATCAAAATGTCTCCATTAGGCGTTGCTAATGGAACATGATCAAACCTATGGGTAAAATTGACACATTACTACCAGTATTATGTATAGTTCTTTACCAACTGGTCAACTCTGTGGAAGAACAGGATACTAGAACACAAGCAGGTGCTATGAAGGTATAGAGTTGCACGTGGCCAGAACTGGACTGTTTCTTGGATTTTAAAAAAAAAAAAATTAATTTAATTTAAAGAAGAGTAGGAGGTATCTTGACAAACATTAACTGAAAGCTTCTTCCTGGCATATATAGCAAGTCTTGGCTAAAAGGGTTGTAGAAGTCTAAAAGGGTTGTAAAAGTCGCTAAAAGGGTTGTAAAAAAAGACAAGGACAACTATATAGGCAAGCCATAGCTGTCAAGTGCCTCAAAATGTATATGGAGAATGTTGGAAAGCCAATGCAGAAATTCTAGTAAGAGATGGGGTCTAAATAATGGGAAATATAATGATCTGGGTAGTCATGTTCCAGGAGACAGCAGGCCAGGTCAGAAGGGAGATTGATTCTGGAGAACAGGTAGTATCAGTAGTCCACAGTAGAGAGTACTAAGGTTGTAGAACGCCTTATGCAGTGAGGATTGAGAAGAAATTCTGAAGACATTGTACAGAAGGAAGTGGATATAAAGTATCGTTATATATAACAAACTGTATTAAAAATAGTGATATAAGGCAAGACTAAAAAGCAGGTTTACATTTTCTACACATTACACTTTCTATACATACTTGATAAGATTATCAGTGTTGATAATTTCTCCACTCCCAGGTATCAAGGGAATCGTTTGGGTTCTATCTCCATCTTAAATTTAAAAAAAAGAAACAAGTATTAGAGACTAGATTTATGTCTGCCAAGGTGTGAGTATTGTGCATTAAACTTCCGTCATAATTACCTTTTTCATGTTGCAATATCATAGTACGCTGATATCTGCCCCTGTTCAAGTCCTTTAGTACTTGCATTAATTCTGTAATTCGAGCTGTGAAGCTAAAATAAGGATGCATTAAGAATTAATCTTCAGAAATATTTTAAGAATTTTATTGTTACGCAGAAAAATAAACTTTTAATAAGTACCCTAAATTGTCAAAATTAAAATCATAATAAGGAAGAACTGGAATCACATTTTTGCAGTGTGACTGGGATACAGTACTTTCTGAATGCAAGCTGTTTCAAAACATGTGTGTTTATTTTTTGTTGTATGTCTTGGGCTGGTTACCTCAAGCACTGGATACTGCAAAACTCTGAAATATAATCAATTTTGCTCCAGAACGGCATTAAAAGCTTCCTAATTCCAACAAATTAATCTCCTAACCTCTGCAGTTTAGGAAACTGGCCCTTAAAATGGTGAAATTTTTAACACTTTAGAAACACTTTAAGGTAAAACTTTCATATTAAAATATTCCCCAACAACGTTACATTAAGATGGAAAATGGTTTACTTCCATATTGCCCATCACTGCTGATCTCACATTCAAAACATCTGCAACTACTAATAGGCTCAGAAATTACCAATGTAATTGAAAACATTAATTTTCCCTAATATTCTCACAGTTATTAATATTAATGTCTATATTTTTGCTGCACTGTGCAAAATGAGTGCACATTTTTAAATTAATGGAGATAGGATATCTCCTAGAACTGGAAGGGACCTTGAAAGGTCATCGAGTCCAGCCCCCTGCCTTCACTAGCAGGACCAAGTACTGATTTTGCCCCAGATCCCTAGGCGGCCCCCTCAAGGATTGAACTCACAACCCTGGGTTTGGCAGGCCAATGCTCAAACCACTGAGATATCCCTCCCCCCATTTGTTTTGTTTTAATCTACAGTCCATTTATAAATAACAGCTATGGAGGATAGGAACTACATATATCGAAAATAAAATAGTGTTAAGCAGCTCTGAATACCAGTGATCAATCTTACCCAGCCAATCTGGTCATTTCACGGCCTGCCAGGACTATTCTGCCCAGAGCTTGAGACATTCTCAACAACATTCTTCCGCTTTGGTAGTAATCCTTAAATAGCAAAATACAACTATGTTTACTTATGTGAACTAACAGAATTCAAGCAATTACTATATTTTACTTATTTCTGTTCTACATTACTTACCTCTAGGAGTTCTGAATGGGTACTCTTTTGATGACGAGGATGAGCTAGGTTCAGAAACGGACGACTAACGACCAGGTAACCAACCACAGTAGCTAGGTCTGCAATATTTAAAAGTAAATGTTTTCTAGCAAGAAAAGTTAAATCAGAACATAAAATGAACACATTAAAATATTTGTAACACTACTTGTACTATAAATAGCAGTCCAATAGCATTGGGAAAACACTTACATTTGGCAATAATAGTATCTATGAATCCCATAGAAAACCGAAACAAGATGAAATTATGCAAATGTTCCACCTGGGGAAAAAAATGTGAAAAAATGTAGCATACACAAATATTTGCCATGCACCCTGCAATTACAATAGAGAAGCAAATTTAATTCTAAAAAAAGCATTTATTTTGCAGTAAATCACGAAGGCCCCAATGAAGATTGTGACCTAATTGTGTTAGGCACTGAGCAAATCCAGATAGACAAAGTCCCTACCAGCAAGTGCTTACAATGTAATCTAAAAGAACACACAAACAACTGAACAGTAAATGAGAGGAAAGTTTGCAAGTGATGGAAAGAAAGGACCTGGGTAGTGAAATAAAGGTCATTGTTAGATAGGTTAGCTATAGTTTCAAATAATCAGGAAATGAAAAAAATATTAAATAAAATCAGCTAATCCTAACTGCTAAAACATCTAGCTATAACTGGTTCACCTTTTTGGAGGTGTCACAACAGAAGTGGATCTGGAGGAGGCATTCGATGAAAAGGCTAATAGTTTCACAGACTAATTCAAGGAGGATGTACCACTTACAAGGAAGTATGGAAAAAAGTGTGGAGATGTTTACAGGAGAAGTGAACAGAGATATTAAAATCTCATGTCACTGGCAGAACGAAGATGGCGAAGGCAGCAAAAAACAAAAGTGGATAGGTAATGGAACAAGAGTTGAAAAACCTTCAAGGTGAGGACATGAATTCTGAATTTTGGTGTTATGGGAAAGAAAATTAGTGAATGGATTCAAAGACTGGGGGGTTGTTCCCACAGTCAGAACGATAGGCTAGAAAGAGTCGTAGTGGCAGTTTTTTGAATGGACCCAAGTCAGGTAAGATGGGTGTCAAAAAGGTCCAAAGGTGTGTGTGTGTGTGTCACAGTAATCAAGATGAGAGGTGAGGGCCTAATCAAGAATTTTAGGGAAACAATTAAATTATATACTTTTGCCAGTGTGTGGGCCCCTCATGCATTTCTGTATGGCCAATTAAAGTCCATAGCTTTCATTTCTTCCTTCATATTTCCCACTTGTATTCAGCAAAGGAATAGGATCACCACCCATAATTCTTTATGGAATAGGAGATGCATGCTCTCTCTCAAGACTGGCATTGCAGTCACTCAATTAACTAACAGGGGCTACTACAGAGGTTAGTACATGTCATCTTTTCATTAGGGTCCAAATAGCACATTCCTCAAGACTGCTCCAAAATCTGCCATCTTCTGTATGACACTAGTGAGATTGCAGTGTAATTGTAACTATGTCAGTCCCAGGATATTAGAGAGACAAAGTGGGTGGGGTAATATCTTTTACAGGACCTGAAGAGCTCTGTGTTGCTTTAAAGTTTGTCTCTTTCTCACCAACAAAAGTTGGTCCAATAAAAAAATATTACCTCACCCACCTTGTCTCACTAGTGAGATTATCACTCACTTGGCCAGTAGCACTCTTGCAAATTTACATACTGTGTGCTAAAACTAATTTAAGTAGCAAATTCCACACACACACACAAAACCCCCACTAAAGTGCTGGCACATATCAGTAGTTTCAATGAACACTACCTTTCAAGAAGTTTAGAGTTTATTAAAACATTAGAAATCCAGGAAATTTAGAGTTAAATTTCTAAGGGTACGTCTACACTGGGATTAAAAACATCAAGAGGACTGTACAATGCAAATTTAGAGAAATGTAAAACTCATGGCTGAGTAACAAGGCAGATGAGATTTAATCCTATGCAGACACAAATGATATGAAGAACTTCTATGATACTCTGAGGACAATCTATGGGCCGAGGTCATCAGGAACCTCTCCGAGTGCCGATGGCACCACACTGCTCATTGTCAAAGAAAAGATACTGAAAAGGTGTGCAGAACATTTTAACAATATCCTCAATCAACAATCATCTATTAGTGAGGAGGCAATTGACTGTTTTCTGCCATGCTTACAGATGCCTTTCATGACTGTGACACCGGGATTGGCATCAGATACCGGACTGATGGCAAGCTTTTCAATCTGAGGAGACTACAGGCAAAGACCAGTGTACAGGAAGTGACTGTTCATGACCTTCTGTTTGCTGATGATTGTTCCCTGAATGCCAAATCTGAGTCTGACATGCAGCAGGGTATGGACTATTTCTCTTCAGCTTGTGACAATTTTGGTGTAACAATCAATATCAGGAAGACAGAAGTGATGTACCAGCCTGCACCATGAAAGCATTACGTAGAGCCTATTATCACAGTGAATGGTCAAATCCTCCAGGCAGTCGACAAGTTCACCTACCTCAGCTGTACACGGTCACGTGCAGTTTCCATCAATGATGAAACCAATACCAGAATTGCCAAAGCAAGTGTCACCTTTGGCAGACTACATACAAATGTGTGGGAGTGCAGAGGCATTAGTCAACAAACAAAACTGAAGGTCTACAAAGCCATTGTGTTGCCAACAACTTTGATGTATGCATGAGAAACCTGGATGGTGTATAGACGCCATGCTATGAAGCTGAATCACTTTCGCGTGGGTTGTGTGAGGAAACTAATGAGGATAAGATAGCAAGAAAAGGTTCCAGATACTGAGGTTCACATGTGGGCAGACATTCCAAGCATCCATACTCTGTTGATGAAATCACAGGTAAGATGGGCAGGCCAAGTCACCAGAATGTCAGATGAGTGACTGCCAAAGATGATCTTTTATGGTGAGCTAAAGGGGAGAAAGCACTCTCAGGAAGGCCAGAAGAAATGTTTCAAAGACTCTCTATAGTTATCCTTGAGGTGTTTCAACACTGACCCAGAGTTATGGGAAGATCTTGCTAATGGATTGTTCTACCTGGCAAACTGTCGTGCATACTGGAGCTACAGCCTATAAGCAGAGGAGAACTACTGAGGCAGAGCAGAAGCACCAGCAGTGTAAATTTCACAACAGCGGTATGTCCGTTGTTAATCAAGTAACCCATAGCGGCATCTCTTGTTCAGTGTGCCACAGACTGTTCAAAGCTCAAATAGGCCTGATCAATCACTCATGTGTTCACAGAAACTAAATCAATCAGTGATGTAATGGTTATCTTTGAAATTGAAGGATGAGCAACACCACCACCTTTTAAGAAGTTCAGAGTTTAACAAAACTCATTAGAAATCCAGGAAATTTAGAGTTAAATTTCTAAGGGTACGTCTACACAGGAATTCAAAACCAACAGCTGGCCTGGGTCAGATGATTTGGGCTCTGGGGTTGAAAAATCACTGTGTGCATGTTCGAGCTTTTCGGTGGTAGCCTCCACCCTTGCAGGGTCCCAGAACTCGGGCTCCAGCCTAAGCCCGAATGTCTACACAGCAATATTTAGCCCCGTAGCCCGTTTTTTTACCCCTGTGTAGACATACCTTAAGAAGCTACGATCAATTTGGTGCATGTGTGCCAGACTGTTTGCAGCAAGATTTCTCCCCCTCATAATACAGTTTTGAACTGAAGGAAGGATTGAGGCAAAAACAAAAAGACTAGCACAAATTCAGCATTATGAACCACCATAACAATATTCCTTAGAATTTGGTTAAGTGAAAATTTAGCATTTAAGCTATAATCAAGTATTTTATGCTCTTACCAGTTTATGAAAGGTTTTGTGAATCGTCTGTTTTTCCCTTAAATTCCCATTATAAAAAGCAATTTCTTCACTAAAAAAAAAAGAGACAATTCATTTAATTTTTAATATAGACAATCCTTGCAGAGCGACCAGCCTGAAAAAGTTAGCTATAAAAACAAAGCTCTAAAAAAAGACATTATTTTAATTACCTTCTCACCAAAGATAAGTTCATAATATTACCACAAGACAACTTTAGGACACAGGTTTATAGTATCTCAACTACAGTTTGCCTTTTAAAATGAGTAAATAATGGATATGGGAGTTATTAAATAATTAGTCCACATAGAAATATAAACATTTTCCTCAAAATTAATTCATTAAGTTTTAGAATTTACTTGAATAAGTACCTTGAAATACTACAAAGATTTCATTTACAGTTAGTCAACAAATAAATCCATACCTGTTTGTAATGAGCCGTGAATTGACAAATCTGTACTCCCCTTCATATTTTTGTTCAGCAATTGTCATCTTGCCAATGGGCCTCCTTAGACGCGTAAGGAAAAAGCCTGAAACTATCAAGTAGGCCATCATGGTAGCTGGACCCTGTGAATATTAAAGAAAAAAAGACAAGACTATAAAAACTCTAGAACTAAGGGGCTGCACACTTGTAATTTCTGTAGGTCAAGCACACTGGACCCACTAGAGGCTCCTTGCATCCTTCTATTCCTCCTGCCACCAAGCTCCCTGTGTGCCACCCTCCCCGGCCCCTCTATTTCAGGAACTCCTGTCCCCTTACCCACTATACCACTGTCTCCCACTCTTCCTCCATGGCAGGGGCTCTGTGTCCCCCCCCCTGCCCCCATTCCTGGTGCTCATTTCCTCCCCCCCCTTCCTCCCTACTTTCCCCTCTCCAGATCCCTGCTTCTATGCCCCACACACACACCGTGTGTTAGGGGGAGCACTTCCCCCTATGATCACCCTATGCCCTCCAGGTACCAGCTTCCCCCACTACCACCAGCACCCCACTCCTCTTTGAGTCGCTGCTTCCTCCCCCTCCACCACCACTGCTCTATCCCTCCAGTCCCTGCTGCTTCCCCCCTACCCTCACATTCTTGCCCCTGTCCACACTGGATCCCCATTCCATCTCCCTGCTCGCACATCCTCCCCCCACCCCCCGCCAGTTATTCCCCCACCCATCCTCAGATCTCTGATTCCCACCCTATAATCCTTCCCTGTAAAGGTCTCTTATTTCTGGTGCAATCCAGACTTCACACACTGTTCCCACACAGCAAGTTAAGCTGCTGCTACTCTGATGTATGTAGGTAGCAGCCACAGGTGGCAGAGAGATTAGTCTGGGAGCCTAATATTCCTGAATATCAAGGAATAATATTCCAATTTGCACCTATTCCAATTTGTGCCATAGATTTCTAGAACATTCCCTGAAATTTTGAAATTGATCGACACAGCATTCCAAAGTTATGGCATTGCAAATAAATGCCATCAAGTGTTGGACCTTGCTTCACTCAGCCAAAAAGGATAAGCATTTCTTTTAGCAATAATTTTACAACTTCAAAATCTTTGAAAAAATAGTATAACTCATGCCATCACAGTGATGAAGGATTAAAATCTGATTTCAATTCAAAGCTAAAACCCAGACATTTTAATAGGTGCTTATGTAACATGTTAAACTTTCAGAGTGCCATACCACATACATGGAAGTTTTAGGTTTTTTTATTTTAAAATCAAATTTCTTTTCTTGTAGTTGCTTTATAGTTAATGTTGCATTAACACAGACTTACTAAATTATGTAACCATCTGAAAACAGCAAGAATTAATTTGGTTTATTTGAAAATAAATTTTATTGTAACACTGGCTACAGTTTTGCCACGATTAGTCAAAAGATTTGCCACTTAACTAGCTTGCTTACCCTTACTTCAAACCTGACAATGCACACACTGGTTACTTGCTGCTGGAAACTGAACATTTTTGTTAATGTATAAAGTTTGTAAGATTTGGCTTTTAGACCAGTAACAGGATTGGAAAATACTTACTAATTTTACTATTTTGACAGATTTTTATTTTTAGGTTTACTACAACTTTAGCACCACTAAAACAGTTACCCTAAACAAAGAAAAAACTTTCATTTCCTTCCTATAGCAAAAGTACACAGCATTCCCTGTTAACAAGGCAACATTGAAAACAGTTGCATAGTGGAATCCAAGATGATATCATTTGCTATTCCAAATACAGAGAAATAAATGTGCTATCTCAGATGTAACTGAGAAGAAACTCTCTTACTAGAAACTGGAGACTATCACATGTTCTACAATTCTGAAGTTTAATAATTATGCAGGTCACCTGTAGTTTTTAAGATAACCCTATACATTCCTCCCTCTTGAGGCACATAGACAGAAACCCTACTATGAATTCTCTGGTGCGGTCTTCAATGTGAAATTATGGGAAATCAGTAAGCAACATTTATCCAGGGGAAAAGAAAGTGTGATATGTGCTGAAGGAGTACTCTTTGAAAGAAAATTAGGCTCCCACTATAAAGTATAATTTCTTTTATCTTTCTACAACTCAAGAACAGAAGTAAGATTAGCAAATAGTAATGAAGCGAGAATTAGACAGAAAACAACTGGTCTGTATGAGGACTTCTTTCCCCTGAGAAGATAAAGCAAATAATTTAAAAAGAGCTTGTACTGATTCTTTTAAATTTTATATTAAGTCTAAGATGTTGCTTCACACATTTCTGTCTTCTGTCCCAAATCTGTGCAACAAACAGCTCCCCTTTGGTGTAGTAGGTTTTCTAGAGATAGGAAATATGTTTTTGCAGAGTGTAAACAACCGTGGTACAAAGCATAATCCAGCTAGAAAAGGTACTGCACAAAATGAGCCTTTTGTGCATCTGATGAAAGGAAACTAAGAACCTGCAGGTCTTTCTAGAAGTCAGCTGTTCTCCTGAAAGTCTCCAAATTCTCACATATCAGTTTTTTTATTTTGTTTGCTTCAAAATAGTGAGCTTTTACAGCACTTCATAACTAGTATGAAAACAGATGCCCATTTTTTGAAAGAATACAGTATATTTAAAGTAACTGAGTATGATTTTCATCAATCTCCAAATGGATAAAATAGCCAAGACACTGAAGGGTTTATTTATTTATTTCAAGCATAGTAAACTTTTTTTTAAAAACAGATTTTTTACCTGAGCTCCTATTGCATTTGTCAGCTTGAAGATATACAAAACTATATCCAAAAATGGCTGCAACAGAAAAAAATTAGTATTAGAAGACACAGAAGAAAACATGGATATAATCCGTCAAATAATCAGATTTTGTAGCATATTAATCCGGTACATACTACAGTTAACACAAATTTATAAAAATATACATTCCATAATTAAACAAAATGCTGGAACAAAAAGCAACATTCCAGAGAGCCTGATAATTTAGGCTATATATTTTGCTCAGCAATTGAAAATGGCATCACATGTGCTTAATACTAATTTTCAAACAGCCTGCAGAGTACATTAAAAAAATTATACTTCCCAATTTTGTTTAAGCTTGTTAAACTGAACAACACAGGGCTAAATCCTACCCTTTCTAAAAACAATCATGCACAGTGGGGATGGACTGGAAGGAGGAGTGACAACATACAGCTGGCCATGCATATGGCACAAGGGACATTCAACTTTGAAGGGCAGGATGACACCAGATTGTCATGACACTGGCTGATACAATTTATCACTTCTCTGAGCTGCAGCAACTCAACTGCAACTTTGGATGCTAGTTACTACATACTAGACTGGCCCTTAACCTGAAAACCCTCCCTTTTGGAGATGCAGTTCACATCCCCAGCATACTAGCTAGGTGTATCGCCTAACACATTTGTGCTCTCTGAAGTAATCCTGGCTGACTGCTTGAACAAGCATAAAATGGTCTCCCTGGCACAATAATATACCAGACGGAAGGATTTCACCCTTGTGAGTTGTGTCCTAATGGTGGTCAGACAACTGTTATGGGAGATAACCCCTTTCAGTTTGGCTTCTATTTGTTGATCAAAATATGTAAAAAAAAAAATACTAACTTATGGCAATTTAAAACATTACAAATATTATAAGTTGCTGTAACTGATATGGGTAGCTTTTTTTTAAAATGGACCACAGGTGTCTGAGTTGTGAAAACAAGACCTTAAAAAATTTAACTTCCAACAGGCTTCCAATGTACATTAGAACATTATTGGGAAAAAGTCACTGTTTTCTCATAATAATGTTCTAATTTATTTTATCAATATTCATCTTTAACACTTAAATGAAAGCTATATAGCTTTTCTAATCTCAGAAGTCTGAAGGATCATACCAGGAAAAGCATTTCTTATTCCAATGCATGTTGTTTTCAAAGTGCTGTATATTGCATCAGAGATTGAATATGTATACAATGTAAAATTGCTCATACAGGGTTACAGTAATTTGTGTATCCCTCAGAATGCTCTTATCCACCTGTATTTACTTAAAGAAATAGAGGAGTACACCAGTATCTTAAAAGCAGGAACCATAGAAACATACTTCATGGTAACTACATTTTAAGAAGAGATGTATCAATTGTGTGACTCTCCTTCTTTCTTACAAAAGAAAACATATCTAATAGTTTTTTAGTTTTGTTACCAATACCAGTCATGAAACAATTTTCAAAATGTTTTCAACATCATTTGTTTACTTTGTATATCTCACTCAGTTTGGTCAAGCAAGTAAATATCATTGGACAAAGGCTGTGTTTGTATTTGCCTATAAACAAGTAGAGTGCAATGAACACTTACTGCAGTGGTCACCAACCCATCGATCCTAGAGACTCTCCCAGTTGACCGCAATCTCCTGTGGTGCAAGGGGGCTGTCGCTATGGCAGGGCCTGCCTTCCCCAGCCACTCCCGGAAGCGGCCAGCGTGGCTCTGCGGCCTCATTGGGAGACAGGGGGATCTCGGCAAGCTGCTCCTGCCTGCGAGCACCATTCCCACAGCTCCCATTGTCCAGGAATGGGGAACTGTGGCCAATGGGAGCTGCGGGGGTGGTGCCTGCAGAGAGGGGCAGTGCGCGGAGCCACGTGCACCTCCCCCTACACCCCCCTAGGGGGCGCAGGGGCGTGCTGGCCGCTTCCGGGAGCGGTGTGGGGCCGAGGCAGGCAGGAAGTCTGCCTTAGGCTCACCGCACCACCAACTGGGAGCTGCCCATGGTAAGTGCCGCCCGGCGGGAGGCTGCACCCCAATCCTCAGCCCTGAGCTCCCTCCCGGAGCCAGCACCCTGAACCCTCTCCTGCACCCCAACCCTCTGCCCCAGCCCTGACCCCCCCAGAGCAAGCACCCCACATCTCCTCCTGCACCCCAACACTCTGCCAAAGCCCAGAGCCCCCTCCTGCACCCAAACTCCCTCCCAGAGCTTGCACCCCAACCCCCTGCCCCAGGCTCAGCCCAGAGCACCCTCCCTCACTGCAAACCCCTTGGTCCCAGCCCAGAGCCTGCACCCCTTCCCGAACCCCAATCACCTGCCCCAGCCCAGTGAAAGTGAATGAGGGTAGGAAAGAGCAAGTGACAGAGAGAGGGGGGATGAAGTGAGCGGGGCAGATCCTGGGTTACCCTTAAATTCAAAAAGTGATCTTGGGTGTAAAAAGGTTGGAGACAGCTGACCTATTGTATGACTCCAGATACATGAATATTTCACTTTAATCTATAGTCAATTTCTAATATTTGGACTGAAATACTGCAAGGGAATATTCTTCTATAAAACTAAACTGGTTCCTTTAAAGAAAAATATCTGTTTCATAGACATTTTTCTGTTGATGTTCAATTTTGTGAAAGTCTTTTGCTTCATCCAACCAGGTCCTAATGAAACATGCCAGACTAGATGCCACTCTTATAAAATTGCGAAGCATTAGATTTATATTCACAACAAATCTAGCATTGTCCGACCAAAGTTCCATGCAGGAGTAATTTCAAGGACAGAAAGTCATCCTAATAAGTATTTTTAAACCTGCTAGCTCTGCTCACTTACCCACCCAATTACTTCTGCACATAGAGCCAACTTCTAGCCACTTCGACAACAAAAACTCCTCCACTAAATTACAAAACTGCCTTCAGGATAGGCACTTTTGCTTCCCAGCTCCAAAGTTAGGAAACACACCTGAAACCATTAAGTAAAGAGGGCATTTCCTTATTCATCCCACCCTTCCCCACCCCTGAAACACAAACCGCTCACATATTAAAATCAAAAAGAAAAGACAAATAAGAATGAGAATTTTCTTTCCCTTGAAAACTAAATAATTGACAAAAGACCGTGCTCTCGCAACCTTCTCAAATGGTGAATATTAAAAGAAAACCAAAGGAAAAGTTACTGTTTGTAGGAGGAGCATGGAAGGGGGGGGGGGGGAAATCACAAATAAAGAAAAAGACAACTGCGTAAGGAAAAAATTTCCCCTCACATAACTCTGAAATAAACTCACTAAATATAAAGTGGACTCAATACTATACAATAATTCATAAATGAAAGTGATCTTCCTAAACTCTGACAAGATTTATCACCCATACATTTATTCAATGCTATTTGTATTTCTTGACTCTTGTAAATGTTTGCACAGTGTTTAATGATTCCGAATGACCACTATTAATAAAAGATTAAAGTTTTATTAAAGGAACTCACCTTACTAAGGTTTGAGTAGAGGTCCACTACACTGTTACAGAATTTTTCCACATCCTGTGTGAGCAGTTGATCTGGATTAGCTATTCTGTTGTCCAGATTTCCCATTTTGTAATACGTATAAGCCCTAAAACATCAACAACAAAACAATGATTGAAAAACTTGTTACGTTTTACCTAAAATGAATCAATGATTCAAGTAGTATTAAATGAGTAGCTGAAAGCCACTTCAGAACATTTATAAAATCCACAAACAATCCCATCTCTTATTTGATATTTACTTGGATTTATTTTACAGTTGATACATTACACTGCACTTTTAACATTTTAAGCATTAAAAAAGTTATGACTTACTGTAGATATTCCTCATAGAGGTATTTGGTGAGTCTTACTCGGAAACAAAGTTTAAGTTCATTTAGCCCATACTTCAAAAAGTTATTTACCAGGGAGATCTAGGAATAAATAATAGTAATACAAGTTAATACAAACAAACCCAAAACAGCTGGATTAAATATATCATGCAAATTGCTTGCTTAAATTGGTGAAAGTACAAAATACAATTTTACCTAGTCAGACTTTGTACACAAATTGATTTAAATTAACTAAGACCCAGATCTTGCAAATGTCTAAAACATCAGAATAGTCTCATTTAAGTCAATGACACTATTCACATACTTAAAGTCAAGCAAGTGCATAATTATTTACAGGTATCATGGCCTAATATTTCTATTTCTATTTTTAAAACCTTTGGATCATCAAATGAGTACTAACAGTACATACTATAGTACTGATAAAAGTTAAAACTGGTCTTATTGTGTCAATAGATTTAGCTCAGAACTCTGTTACAACCAAACATTTAACTCTCATAATCAGTTTTAGAATGTATTTACCATCTCAGCCCCACGCCCCACCTTTAAAATGATATCATTTCTGGCCTATTATATATTTCTGGCCTATTTTAAAATTTGGTTGCATTTTTCTTTAATTCGTGAGAATCATTCCCCTTAATGTGCTGGGTTTATTTCCAGAACACTTTGTTTTAGCATTCCTATATGAACAGGGTGTAAGTCACTTGAGAAAAAAACCTGAATGTTAAAAACACTGTATGTGTTTTGAAAGATGGTTAATGTGAAAAATCTTACCTTTATTTTGAATCTGCTTGAAAAACAAAACTAACTAAGTAGTTACCTCATTGCAAGCCTTGACAGCTTACTGTAGTCAATTGGCAACAGGGATTTTAAATTACTCATCAGTGCTAACAGACAAACCTAGCAGTCTAAAAGAGTAAGTCAATTCTGCTGAATCAATAGGCAGCCAATAGTGAAATCTGCACTCAAATATTTCCCTACTTCTTACGGCCAGAAAGTGAAATCAAACCACCCATTTTAAAAACAGTTGACTTCTAAAAGTTCTGAGAAATTCATTTGGAATCTCTTCATGATTTCTGAATTTATATTTTAAATCACTTTTAACAAAGATGGCAAGGGAAAAAAAGCACTTACAGCAGGCATGGCAGCGATGAAGTTGAATAAGTACTTCTTGAAATCTTTTCTGCTGCGACCAATGATAGCACTGCAAACCACCACATGCTATGTGTTAGTTATGAGAGAAAGCAATTACTACACGCACCAGTATTTTCCCAAGGGGAGGGCAGGTGGGTGGCCCTGACTAGTTCAGGAGGGCAGGGGTAACAGGGTATAAGAAAGGATCACTGTGGAAAACTGCAGTACCAACTGTTGTGTCAACTTCATCTTCAGGTAAAGTGGAAGGTGGCTCACTGAAAGCCACCTGCCTTCTCTCTCCTTGTTCTTGTTGTGGCCCCTAACATAAGAGGCTACAGGAGGAGCTCACATATACTCTTCTCTGCTCCCATGGCACTTAGTAACCTTGGGTAACAAATGGACACTACTCACCCCAGCAGCATACAGCCTTGGGGGGGGAGGGAGAAGGGAAGGTGCAAGGTGGAAAAGTTAAGTTAGCAAAAAGTATGTAGAAGAAAAAGAGGAATGAGGTGGGGGGGAATACAGAGAAGAGAAAAAGAAAAAACAACAGAAGATGGGAAGTGAGAAAACAAATGGACAGGAAAAGAGAATGAGTACTTGCAACCATATCAGAACATGGTGTAAGGAGACTGAGTAGGGCCATCTGCCAATCCATTGCAATGGGGGGGAGGGGAAGAGGGAGAAGGGATTGGAACCACGGCTCCAAGTTGTTTATGGTCTGGAGTAGAAATTACCCAAGACAAAAATAATTCTTTAAGCTTATATACAAACCAAAGTAACAAAGTGTTCCAGATTTCATAAAAAAATTTAATGGCATTTTAGAACTATATTTACCACCTAAAAAATCTGTATGATGTCTCAGCTAGAAATTACTCAGTGTATAAAGTCTCTGATACATAAAAGATAACTGTGAAGCAAAAAACAAAAATACAAGAGGACTACTTTTTCCCCTTTAATATTTGCTTATAAGGTGTTATCAGCTTCAAGTCTTTTTTTTTTTTAAATGTTCCTCTTCAAAACACTTGAAATATCAAGAATACTAGGTCCTCACTTATCTTGGTTTGCTGGGGGTCCTTGGCAAAACCTTAGGAAAACGTCAATATAGTGATAGCTTACAACGCTACAACCTGAGCTGTAGCTCTCCTTCACATAAATGCGAAGGGAATACTGAGGGCTTTTCTACACAGAAATGTTTTAGTGGTATAAATTAATTTGTGAATATAAACCACTATAGTTATACTGGTATAACTGCCAGCATGGATGCACTTATTCCAATATGAGTGCCTTTGTTGTTGTTGTTTTGTTTTAGCTTAGGTCGCTTTGCAAGGGGTTTAAGCTAAGCCAAAATAAAGCCAGTCTTATTCCAGACTAACAGCATTCACACATGGAGTTATACTGGTATAACTATCAGTTTAATATGATCAATATAAGGTGATCAGTGGAAGGAGAGCTGTAGCTCAGCTTACAGCTTCATGTGGGATCACCATTAAGGTCCACTTTTTCCATGCTTCCCCCTATTCTTCAAGCTGCAACCCACTTCATTTAAATCTCTCCTTAAGATTCAGCTGAGCCATAAAGCACACCAGGTAATAATAAGAACTATAAAAAAATCCTTAATACCAACAAGATGTGTACATCCTTAAACGAAACGGAAGTTATTGTATTGAGAGAGGCAACGTGGGTGAGGTAGTACCTTTTATTGCAGTGTTTGCCAGACTTGGGATGCCGCTCGTGTAGGGAAAGCCCCTGGCGGGCCGGGCCGGTTTGTTTACCTGCCCCGTCCGCAGGTCCGGCCGATCGCGGCTCCCACTGGCCGCGGTTCGCTGCTC